TCCTCAAACCGAGACGGGCCAGGACCCCTTGGGTTGTTCGGGCTCAGACCTGGACCTTCGTAAAGGCCGCTGAGCGCGCCTTTGCCCGCACTCAGCTACCTCATTAGGAGAAAGGCCCTCGCCTTTATCCAGGTCTTTCAGCAGGCCAGCCTGATATGCTTGGGGCATCACCATCGTGTGCAATGAAGCGACAGCCCGACCTGCTGGAGGGAGTCTTAAAAGAGGACGTCTCATCCATAGAGAGATAGCTGGCCAGCGTCTCTCTATAGGGGCATCTTCTCATAACCGCTTTCGTGTATCGCCTCAATGTTGGCATAACGCGTATGCTGGAATCGATGGATGCGTGAGGAAAAAACGGCCTCTTCCATTCCTTCTCAATCTCTGTATGGAAAACAGGAAGAAAGGAAGGCTCACCTGAGCTGGAGGGTTATGGCCAGAAAAATAACATTCATCGTTTTTTTTTTTTAAATAGATGACCTCAAGATGTCATTTTCTTCACCCGCTTCACGGCAAGTAAAGCCTCGCCGTGGTGCCATCCATAACTTTCAAAAGCTCATCATACGCAGGGCAGGAGGATTGGGAAAGCTCAGCCTCAGCTTCTTGTCCTCTTCAGACATTTTCCTGCTTTCCAGCAGAGCACTGGCCCCTGGATCAGACAATGTTAATGAAATAACATCATCCTCCAGCGGCTCACTCTGGTCCACAGCCGACGATCGCGAGAGGGAAAACCCCTCTGTGCTCAGGGTGGCTGGTCCCGGTCCAGGGGCCGTCCTGGCAGGTGGAGTTTTTGCAGTGTCCAGGCTGGTATGGCAGTGGTCGGTCGTGGCTGAAGTCTTTTCTCTTAACAACTTGTTTGTGGGCGTCCTTTTCTCACTCTCGGCCTGCTTCCACTGTGCAGAGAGTGTTCATCACAAGAAGAAGGTACTATAGTCCAAACCATTTGGTATTTATAGGTGATACCAATCATTGTTAGTTTAAAACTGATACATTTTGGTTGTAAGATGCATATTTCTATATATATATTTGTATTTTGTCAGTTTGCTCTGTGGGGGGCGCTCTTCTGTGGGCTGAGCCTGTGTAATCAGCACGCACTGGTCTTGTACGTTGTCATCATAATTCCCTGGGCCCTCCTGCACCTCTACACACATAATGTAAGTATTGATAATCACTCAGCTTTCAACACATACTTTTTCAACATTTCACAATGATGTAAATGTCATTAATACCTTTCAAAGAGCATATTCTCTGATATTATGAACTCAAATACAGCCACATCACGTAATAAATATACAGCATTACAGATATTAGTATTCATAACCCAGTGATTTCCGAAGGTCTTCAGGTACTGGTACTTGCAATTGAAAACTCCCATATAACTGTGGTTTTGTCCAAGTGTTATGCCTATGCTGTTGTTTTGGTATGTATTAAATTTGAACACTTGGCAATGGAAGGATCTATCAATAACAAGTGACATGCATTGCCCACAGGGTTTGTCCTTCTTTGGTCTGGTGTCTTTGTGGACGTGCTTTCTGGCTGGCTTTGTGCCCTACGTCTACTTGCCCATTTCCTCCTACCTCAACAGAGCTCGCTGGAGCTGGGGAGACCAGACGTCTCTCCACGGCCTCCTCACACACCTGCTCCAAGCTGAATATGGCACCTTCAGCCTGGTACCAACAGATTCAGTAATGATTTATAATTTAAAAAACATGTTTTGAAAAATTAAATGTATGTACTCAAATGTGCAGTTATTTCCATGCTGCATTTATTTTGTGAATCTAATGCACTGCATATGGAATTCTTTGGTTTCAGACAAAGACAGATGAAAAATGTTATGGTGAGTGTAAGAAAATTGCAAAACAAATTAAAGGGATAGTTCATCCAAAATTGAAAATTCTGTTATTAATTACTCACCCTCATTTTGTTCCAAACCTGTAAGACCTTCGTTCATCTTTGCAACACAAATGAAGATATTTTTGATGAAATCCAAGAGCTTTCTGACCCTGCATAGACAACAACGTAACTACCACATTCAGGGCCCAGAAAGGCAGTAAGGACATTGTTAAAATAGTCTGTGCGACTTCAGTGGTTCAACCGTAATTTTATGAAGCTACGAGAATTTTTGTGTGCAAAGAAAACAAAAATAACAACTTTATTCAGCAATTTCTTCTCTTCTGTGTCAGACTCCGCTGCGCATTCACGAGAGTATCACGACTTTGTTTAAAGAATAAATCCAGTCATTTCCAGAAGGAAAAGTAGGAATTTATGTAGCGAACAAAAAACTTAGTTCAGTATAAAAAGAATTTAAAACAACAAAATAAAAACATTTGCAATTCAGCATGCAAATACTACAATGTTATAATTATTACCATTTAGATATTGAATGCCAACTATTCTGTCAATAAGGGTTGCATGGTTGTAAAAAAAAATCATAATTGTTGATTATGTCCCTTGATACTGTAACTGCAATAATTAATTATTGTTTAATACTAAAATAATAACATTTTATATTCAAATCATTTTGTGCAAGACAACCGCACACCATATTCTGTAGCACTTTGTTTTACAGTCATGTTCTGCATGCACAGACTGTTTGTATTATAGTAATTGTAATAATTGGGTAATAACTAGGTACTAACCCTGTACCTAACCTTAACCAGTGTAGTTACCTTACATTTCCAGTACTTATTACGTACACTGTGAGTGCATATACTGTAAAATAAATAGCAAATATTTTTGTTTGTCTTGTTTTTGTCCAAGTGTTCTTCCACTTATATTAAGTGGCAGCTTTAATAAAGACTAATGACTCTGTTAATACCTCATCCATAGTTAATTCTTGTACAGTAGATTCCCCTTCCCTCCAAAACTACAAAGCTGAACCTGCTAGGAATAACAAATCTGTTGTGTTGCACTGGCTTAGAAACGATCAGTGACGTTCACAGCGTCTCTGATGACACTGGTGTAACACATCATGCGAGACTCGGGTCGTCTCCTCAGCCCACCCTCATCAAACGTTTGGGTGTCCCCAGAGAGAGAGATTATTTTATGTCCCGCTAGCACCAATCAGCCGTTTCCCATCACCCCCCACAGCTGCCACATAGTGTGATGGACAGGTGAGATCCAGAGAGGGGAACACAACAAGCATGTCACAGCATAAACCTGCCATAAGGAGCTCAAACGCTCTCTCTCACACACACTCTCTTTCATATGACACTTAAATAAGCTGTCAGAGAGAGATGGGTATTAAGGCACAGGCAGAGCACTATCTCTTTCAGCAGGGAAATTGGCCATTGACTGGGTTTGGGAGACAGATAGAGAGAAGCCTGTCACAAGACTGCACTTAATGTTGAAAAAAAAAAAAACATTCAGACACTCACAGCACTTTCAGTTTGAGTCTCTGTCCATCACACAGACATGCACACATAGTGGATATATTGATAAGTGTGTCTGTTGTGTTTCAGGGCTCAGTGGAATCACTGTGTGAATGATCTGTCTACTCCAGTACTAGTGCTGGCACTTCTAGGCATTTTACAGTCTTTGTAGAACAGGTAAGACGTTGCTGCATGAGATCCACTGAAGTGAAGGAAAAGCACACAATCTAAAAGCTTTTCATTCATCACAGTTTAATGTAAAGAGGATACTGTAAATGTAAACACTGGATGTGTGTGTGGATATGTTTGTTTTTTTTGAGCTGTCAAATATGTCAATTTCTGGCTCAACTACCTGTTTGTCTGAAACCTGTTGGGAATAATCATAATACTTGCCATTTACATTCACTTCCATTTTGCAATTTCAATTTTATTTGGTGCTGCTAGTGGCACAGATATTGAACACTTCAACTTTATTTAGACTACCATTCAAAAGTTTGACTTTGGTACAATTTTTAAAATCTTTTAAAGTCTTTTATTCTCACTAAGGCTGCATTTATTTAATCAAAAATGTAGCAAAAACAGTACTATAGCGAAATATTACTTAAGTTTAAAATAACTTATCATTATCAATGTTGAAAACAGTTGTGCATTCAAAAGCACAGAATTCAAAATTATATATATTCTAATTTATAACTTAAAAAAATTTTTTTTTGTAATTTTTTAATACTTGTATTCAATTTAATGCTAATGTGAAAGTAAAAAAAAGCGCCATGTTTGAATAATATATTTAATGCTAATTTAAATATTTTAATTTCATTCAAGAAATAAAATAAAATAAACATTTCTGGACCACTAAATCTGATTGGAGAGGTGGTGTTGAAATTTTGAAGCTTGAAATATTGCTGATATTATATACTATTATATTGTTACATATATTACATGTTATTCTTCCATTAACTTATTTGAACTAATTTTAATTCTTTAAAAAAAAGCTAATGCTAATTTAAAAGTATTAATTTCTTTCAAAGTAAAAAAAAATAAAAATAAATAAAATAAACATTTCTGGACCACTAAATCTGATTCGAGAGGTGGCATTGAAAGCTTGAAATTTGATATATTGCTGATATTATGTAATATATTTTTTACATATAAATTACATGTTATTCTTCCATTAACTCATTTTGTGGAAACTATTTTGACTCAATTTCGTTCTTGCAGGAAACATTATCGGCAGAGCAAAAAGCAACAATATTGTGTTTGAAATGTTAATGACTAGATATTAACTTGTTTATAGAACTATAAAAGCAATATCAATATTACAGGCAGACACAGCCATGCTAATATTCAGTACAATAGCACTTGTGCTCGTGTGATATTACTACAACTCTCTCCTATGCATACCATCATAGTTTTGCCATCATATTGTATGTAGTAAATGTAGTTTCAATGTATTCAAATGCAATATCATCATAAAACTTTTTAAATTAATGGCATATATTTGACCCCCAGACTGCGCTGTGTTTTTATCTGCTTGATTGTCAGTATGGTGAGCATCTACTCCGTGTTCTTTGCCTGGAGAGCAAACCTGAATATTGAGAAGCCTCTTCTGCTGGGAGTGGTGAGTGTTACAATTCTAACAGATATGATTAGTATTATGATTATATGATGTAATATATTTCAAACAGACTTCAGTGAATATAGCACATGTGTGTGTAGGTGGAGCGCTTCTGGCTGCAGGCTGATGCTGGGGTGTGTGTTCTGGCTGGTCTGGGTCTGAGCTGGGCCGTGTGTTGGCCGAATGGGCGTCTGGGCTGGGGGACACTGTGGAACACAGGAGCCTGGATACACACTGCAGGCCTCATCTCACACATGATCAGCTTAAACCACAAGTAAACCATTCACACACAGTCACACAGACTGGGAGCCAGTGGATGATATTAAACTTTTCAAACATCTTTAATTCACTTTTCAAAGTTTAAGGTCACAAAAGTCTTGAAATACCTTTGAAAACAACTTTGAAACATGTTGCTGTTAGAAAGGCAGCAGACACTTTTATTAAAGCAGCTTCAATAGCAATAGACCTATATTTATGTTTTCATACTGATTTATATGCTAACCAACAGTGTTGGGGAAAGTTACTTTTAAAAGTAATGCATTACAATATTGCATTACTCCCTAAAAAAGTAACTAATTACGTTACTTAGTTACTTTTTATGGAAAGTAACGCGTTACGTTACTTTTGCGTTACTTTTTAAGTCTGGGCTGGACTTACTTGTTTGTTTTTAATATAAAAAGTTCTTTTACAAATGTAAAAGCCCTTTCACAACAAAAGTGAAATGAATGAGCCTCAGGCTGAAGGTAATGTAAATTCATGTCTGTACAGTAGAGGGCACAGCTCAAACAATTTGCATGAAGAATATGACACAGGAGAAGAAAGTTCAACACTATTCAGCAATAACAAAAATGAAACAAAAAATGTGTAATTTTTCGAAGGTCAGCAGCAAAGACATTGGTTAATAAAATGGGATTAAATACATAAATTATATGTCTTATTTAACATATTTAATTATTGCAGGTTTGTATAATATTCTGAGTTTGCATTTGACTGTTTTTATTCATTTTGAGGAATACTGGATCTGTTCATATTTAGTGAAGAACTACAGTAAGCAGTAATCACGTTCACACAGCGCACAACGCCCATGCACTTACTCACGATTTCTCTCAATATGGCAACACAAGAGCTGTCAGTCAATACATGGGGGAAAAAGTAACTGGAGTTACTTGTTTGAAAAAGTAACTCAGATATTTCCTTCTACATTAAAAAGTAATGCGTTACTTTACTAGTTACTTTAAAAAAGTAATCTGATTACGTAACTTGCGTTACTTGTAATGCGTTACCCCCAACACTGCTAACCAATATTGAACACCAACGTTGCATTTCATATATGAAAGTGTTAAGGAGGTTTCTGTTAATTTGCTCTAGGAAATTTGTCCCCAGGTGGCCTTTTACATGAATGATGTGTGTATGTTTATATGTGTACACTACTGTTCAAAAGTTTAATCAGTAGTTTTTTTTTTGTTTTTTTTAAGAAATTAATCATTTTGTTGAGCAAGGATTCATCAAAGAATCCTGTAAAACTTGATCATGTTTTCCCCAAAATATTAAGCACCGCTGTTGTCAACATTGATAAAAATAAGAAAACTTTACAGATGATTTATGAAGGATCACGTGACACTGAAGACTGGAGTAATGACTGCTGAAATTACTTTAACATCACAGGAAAAAAATTCATTTTTAAAATACATTAAAATAGAAAATTCTTATTTTAAATTCTAATAATATATGACCCTGTACCACAAAACCAGTCTTAAGTCGCTGGGGTATATTTGTAGTAATAGCCAACAATACATTGTATGGGTCAAAATGATCGTTTTTTCTTTTATGCCAAAAATTATTAGGATATTAAGTAAAGATCATATTCCATAAGGATATTTTGTACATTTCCTACCGTGAATATATCAAAACTTAATTTTTGATTAGTAATATGCATTGCTAAGAACTGCATTTGGACAACTTTAAAGGCGATTTTCTCAATATTTTGATTTTTTTGCACCCTCAGATTTTCAAATAGTTGTATCTCAGTCAAATATTGTCCTATCATAACAAACCATACATCAATGGAAAGCGTATTTATTCAGCTGATGATGTATAAATCTCAATTCCACAAAATGGACCCTTATGACTGGTTTTGTGGTCCTTGGTCACATATTTCACAATAGTACTGTGTTTACTATATTTTTGGTTCAATAAATGCAGCCTATAAATAAATATGGTTAAATACTGTTCTTTTAGGAAGCAATTAACGGTAAAACATTACTTAGATTTTTACTGTACATCAGTTCTGGCATTAAACATTTTTAATGTCTGGCCCAAATGATGGTTCCTCAATCAATCAATCATATTTATTTATTTCTACTCAGAATATTGAATATCATCAAAAGGCTACTGTTTGTATATTTGTATAACTGACAACCATAATTTGGTGCTATTTCATGTATTGCCCCTTTTGTTTTGGTGATAACGACCAGCTGACATTATCTCTTACTTGATATTAATTTCGATTTTTCAATTTTTAAACCCATTCCATTAAATTCAATACATTTCCACCTAAAATCAGTGCTGAAAATAGTTTTTATAATCAGCGGACTACAGTAGTCAAAGAAATGCAGATTGGTATTATGACCGGTCTAAATACTAATTCTTTTGCAGTGGGCCTATCAGTGTGCATTACTGCATTAACATCACAGACCCGCTGAACCATCAGAGTCTGAGTTTTTTTGTATATATTTGTGGTTGATCATCCAGACCATGGCAGTCACTCATTTCCTCCATGCTTCAGCAGCACACATCAAAGCAAAAGCTCTCTTGCACTCTTCTGCAGCATTGACTCTATGCTTGATTAGCCGTCCTGACCACGCTAGTCATGCAGATTAAAGCAGCCGAGTTCTGTGCTTGATTAGACATCCTAGCCATGGCAGTCATGTAGATTAGAGCGCTGAGGTTTGGTACATCGCTGCCACAAACTGGCGCTTTGATCAGTGGGGAGACTGACACTTGTCAGCGCTCATCACACCTGTCCGAGGCTGATTACAGCCGAGAGATGTTCCACCTCGTCACTGCTCACAGAGAAACAGAGCTACTGACTGCAGAATAGCTGAAAGAACGAGAATGTCACGGATCCTTACACTTTTGTGCAAACTCTTCAAAGTAAACATCACTGCTGATGTGGTTGAAGTATTTGTGAATGAATGTGCGGGTACATTCACACACGCAGCTCATAAAACCTTTATATCACTTTCAGATCACTTTCATCTGGCAAACTCTCAGTATCAAATGCTGTCTTTGTAAAGCTGTTACAACAGACTTTTTTCACTGAAGACTTTTACACACAGGCATTATTAACCTATTGACCTTTGGGATTTTGTAGGTGCAATAATTACTGAAATCTGGTGGTAATTATCATGTACTAGGCAACATATCATACAAACAAATAAATAAATACAAAAACTAGTTACTTGTGTTAAAACCTTATAGTTGACATGTTCACCTAAGATATTATGTTTAAGATCATATTTTAAGATCACATTTTAACACTTAAACAATTTGCTTTAGTACAATGGCAATATAAAATTATTTAATTTAGGAAACAATAGGTAATTTAGTTTTCTTTGCAATATTACATTAATATGTGCAATATTTTGAAGCAATTCATATTTGAATATAATGTTACAAATAATAAGTTAATTTTTCCTATAAGATAAATTTTTCCTATAAAATGATCCTATAAAACGTATTTGCAGCAGTTATTTCAATATTTTTTGTATACTATTAAAGTTTTTATTAGTCAAGTCAAGTCAAGTCTGCTTTATTGTCAATTCTTCCACATGTACAGCACATACACACAGAGAATTGAAATTGCGTTACTCTCAGACCCTTGGTGCATACAGATAACACTAACAGTAGAACATAAATACAGATATACAGATTAAATATAAAATACAACTATACAAATATACAAATAAGGTAAAATGTAAAAAAAAAA